AGAATGTGTTTCAGTAGAGAAAATACCAGAGAAGAAAAAAATGTGTGCCTGATTATACTACAGCATTTCCTTCTCAAATTTTTTGTGATCAAAGTTGAAAACAGCAAGTGTTGTAAAACACTCTCTTGTTCTGCCTCTCATTCTCTCTGTCCCTGGTGTAAAACATATCTGCTTAGAAACCAGCTTTTCTAGCTTCTAGCTTAAAGTGAATATATTACAACTGTATTATAAAATCCCAAAATGAAGGCTTTACAGTGGAAATGCTGACAGCCCTCCTACATAGAAGAGCACACTGTAATTAGTCTTCCAAACTGAACATGCCAAATGCAGCCCAGCAGTGTTAAATATAATCGCTTTCAGCCTTTTTTGTTGTACAGCAGTTTTGGATGTGCATTTCAACAGTAAATCACACCCTGTGGTTTTACTACCTGCCCTCCTAAATGTAGCTGTGCCTAGTTGCTGTGGAGGAAGGGGTGAACAAGGACACTGCTCCCATTCCTATCTGTTCATGCTTAGCCGCTTGGTTGAAAAGGCCAAATACCCTCACGCTAACAGTGCGTGTATGTAAGGTGTATTTTGGGGATTGCTTGTACCATTTCTTCAGCACGTCTGATCTCTGTCGATCCCGGAATGTCTGAGCTTGTTCCTGGCTCATCTTTCATTCACCTGCAGAAAATTGAGATATTAGAGGTATTGCAAGCTGTGCAGCCATAAGCACTGGGCCAAGCTAATCATTTTTGTAAGGATTTTTCATAGTGTTGAACTTCACTAATGACTGGACTGGATAACAACTTAAGGCAGTAGTAGGGATGAGGTATAGCTTTTCAGAAACATGCAAACTTTTATTGACCAGAGCACACAGGGATAAGAATATATGAATTCCTAAACTCAAGGAAGAGACCTCAAGGGCCATCCAGTCCAGTCCCACGAAGCCATGCAAGGCCACACAATTGAAAGACAAACAGGTGGCCATCCAGGTTCTGCTTAAAGAAGGAGACTCCACCAGACTCAGAAGCAGCATATTCTACTGCCAAACAGTTCTTATCATTAGGGTTTTCTTCCTAACCTTTGGTGATTTCCCTCCCTGCAATTTGAACCCTACTGCACGGTGCCCTAGTCTCCAGAGCAGCAGAAAACAAGCCTACGCCTTCTTCACTGTGACATTCTTTCAGATATTTAAACATAGCTGTCATGTTCCCTTTCTGCCTTCTCTCCAAGCTAAGCATACAAGGCTCCCCAAGCAATTCCTCATAGGACCTGACTTCCAAACCTATGATCATTTTGGTCGCCTTTCTCCTTAAAATTGCTCCTTAAGGAGTAGAAAGTGGCAGGATTGAAGATGGGAGGGCATGCTCACTTTTTTTGTCTTGTTACGTTTCCTGGATGAGCAGGGTTTGCAGGTTTTGTGAAGCTATATATCATTTATTCAGACCTTCAGATTAAACTGAACAATACATGACTCAGAGTCAAATGATACAAGTATCTACAGGAAAGCCCATTATTTTTTGAGTCTCAGCATCTCTTGGCCCTTATTAAAATAAAATATTAAAAATAGAATAGCCATATTTTTTCCAGTGACCAATCACTGTGTGCTTTCAGTATGTAATGTATGTGTCAACCCCTTATGATGATGCACTTCATAAATGTTTGCATTGTTGTATAAGTTACAATCTTGTCATGAATTTTAAAGAAATAGATTACTTACTTCATTGCATCCTTTGACCCAAAAGGCATGTTTATTGCTGCTACACATCTTTCTGTGCATTGGAGTTTGTCAGGAATGTTTTTAGGAAGTTATTGAAAATCCTTCCCAGTGTTGTCTGTCTCTAGAAGTAGACAGTGGTCTTTAGAAATAATTAAATAGCTTATATGTTGCAGTGAGAGGATTTTTCGCGAGGAAGTGATAGAAAACTATCTCTTAACCACCGAAAATGCACCGACACAGTATTGAAAGTGGCAACTGTTTCCCATCTTCTGCTGACAGCTTGGGTCAGATCATCTCTGTTTTATTGGTTACCTTTAAAACGTTTACAAAACATGCCTCCATGTAGTTAATTGCATAGACCAATTTGATGGAATTAATCATCTTTTTACTGCTGTTTTCTTTTTAAGAGACCTTTAACAGACTCAAAGATTGAGAGGCTATTATGTTTGAGCTCAGAGGTTTTAAAACACAAGTCTAATGCCTCCCACCAAAATGAATAAAGTGAGTGGCTACCCCTTAATCTAAAACTGTATCACTGTTTTGCCATTGCAGGGGGGGGGGGGGATGATTGAAAGAGTGGAATCCAAAGAGATAGCTGTATGAGTTTGGAAGATTAGTTTACAAATAGATCTTGTAGATCCTTAGAGACTAACTCAGAGAATGAAGTTGGTAGTATAAGCTTTCCTGAGTCTGCTTTTTCTGATGCATGGAGTGAAGTTCTTAGGAACTAGCTGCAGAACACTTCTTTCATCATGAGCACCTGGTATAGGATCTTGAAATAGCTCTCCTTGAACAAAAACACTAATCAGGAAAGATTGGAAAGACAAACAAACTCTAGCCCACTGACTGTGGGTTGAACATCACCTAAGACAGTGGTTCTCAACCTGTGGGTCCCCAGATGTTTTGGCTTTCAATTCACAGAAATCTTAACAGCTGGTAAACTAGCTTGGATTTCTGGGAGTTGTAGGCCAAAATACCTGAGGACCCACAGGTTGAGAATCACTGACCTAAGAGCACAGACTCATGAGGGCACAGCATATCACAATATATCATATTTCCTATTTAGTCCCCAGGCAGCATCACTCAAACCACTACAACATATTGGCTTTATAGGCAAATAATAAACAAGAGGCAGTATGTTGTCATGGTTTCAGCGTTGATCTCAAACTCTGGGGGATAAGAGTTTGAACTCCCACCCAGCTGTAGAAATCCATGGACCGAATTTAGGCAAATCACAGCCCAAGGAGATGCCAGTGGCACCCATGTCTGAATAAGTCTTGCCAAGAATCTCTCATGATTGGGTCACCTTTGGATCTCCATAAGTCAGAAACCAAGAAAGGTATTAAACATGGGAGTGTGTGGCTGAGCAAGTATTAATTACATTTGAAATGTTTTATAAATTCCTTCTGAAGAAAAAGGTCTGTGAATTGGTTTTTCTAAAGGCCATGTTCCCACAGAGGTGTTCATTTTGAAGCAGGGACAAACTTTTTTTGGTTTCTCCTTGCCTTAAGGCATCTATCTCACACACGTATGAAGAAAGGACTTAATGGTGTGATAGGTGAACCCTGTAAGCCACTGCTTTGAATCTAAAACAAGCTAGCCAAATATAAACCTGTGAATGAAGGTGTTAAGAAATGATTGTGCAAAAGAGAAACCCTGTTGCAATAGTAATAGTAAGTATATCTGATTGATCCCACAGTCTTGTTTAGGTGTAGCCTCCGGGTGATTAGTAAAGGTGTGTGTGAGAGTCTTTCTTCTTTTGGAAGATTGGAATTAGTCCAGGGTGGTTAATTGGAATAAGGAAGATGAATAAATGTACCACCCATCATTGTAGACTTTTTGGAGACTTCACAAAAGGTATGACCTATTACTGTAACTAAAAACACGAGAGTCAACATTCAGCCCAATAAAATCATGCCTTAGTGAAGTGAGAGAGAAACAATACATGTGTAGCATTCAAGCCATTTGGTAGAAGTGAGGGATAGAGAGCACTGGGAACTCCTTGTCACTGGAGTCTGTTGGAGTCTTGGTATTGTTAGGGCTAATAAGCTAAATTTGAATAAATTAATCTGAATCAATAGAGTGGAGGCTTTGTGGATTGTTGGCTCTCTGGGCTGGGAATTGGAAAAGTGACCTGGTCTGCCTGGTGTTACACTTCCCCTGAGAGATATGTTTATTAAATTGGAAAGACAGTTGTACAACCCCACTATCTGTGATTCACTTATCAACGTTGAACAAAATATGTCCGTTGGCATTTTTATGTGCTCCAGCGCAACTCTATGGTTTTCTTGGGCCACAGATCCTTCATTTCAATAGGTTTTGCTATTATAACAGTTTTGCCTATCCACATGAAGTCCGGGAACATATTATTTGCAAATATGGAGGTTGTACTGTACCAGTTGATTTGTTGATTCGTTTCTGACACTGGAGGGCTTGCGCATCAATACCTAGGATCAGCCTTGATGCCCTGTTAGTTAAGGGCTTTTTAAGGTAAAGATAAGCTAGGGCTCTTTCGCATTGTACAATTATAACCCCCTAATTCCCACACCGAATGACATGGTTTCATCCTATAAAATCTTGGTGTAGGGGAGGTACATAGAATTCTAAGCGAGAGAGTTTTGACCCCTTGCAACACTGCAAAACCCAGGATTCCACAACATTCTGCCATGGCAGTAAAGGGAAATCATAGTGACTTGTGTACTGTGAAAAAAACTTTGGTCACTTTGTAACCAGCTACTGCAGTGCACTTTGTGTGGGGCTGCCCTTGAAGATTACTTCAGTTAGTACAAAATGTGGCTGCTATTTGCAAAGAAACTTCAGGGCACCAGTCTTAAGGGGATTACATTAGCTGGTCTCAATTCAAGCTGCAGGTGATGACTGAAAAGCCCTAAGTGGTTTGGGGCTTGGATACTTAAATGAATGTCTCACCCTTTCTATGCCTGATGTCTGCTGGAGAGGCCTTTTGCTGTGTCTACCAGTGAAAGCAATACTATCTATGAGGATGTGGGAACAAGCCTTCCCTGCAGCTCTGTTTTTCTTAGTTTCTGTGTATCATTTAGTGTTCCGTAAAATATATTGTCCATTGTTTGAATAAATAATGCTAAAGTGAGATGTTTGTTAAAGTGGGTATAGGGCTCATGCAACACTCCAGATGTTTCTGGATTGTAACTCGGTAATCTAAACAGACATTACCAATCACGAGGAATGCTGGAAATTACAATTGATCAATATTTGGAGGAACCCTGATTTAAATTTGTCTCTGAACTACATTTTCCTTTCTCCCCCATTTTGCTAGGTCACCTTGGAAAAGGTGTTGGGAATCACTGTTTCTGGAGGCAGAGGATTAGCTTGTGACCCGAAGAGTGGACTCGTTGCCTATCCTGCTGGGTGAGTCATTGCATTTGAATAATGTCAAGTTGTCAGCTTAAAGGTACAACTTGTGCTAGATCTGTCATGTAGTGAAATTATGCATTTTATGGTAATCTCTCGAACACTCTCCAACTATGGAGAAAGCCAGCAGTATTGTTTTAAATCAGTTCTAATGAGAATACTCTTTAACCATTACAGATAATGACATTATTTTCTGTGGTTCTTCCTCTTGGGTTTGTGTGTGTGTGTTTAAGAATTGGATTATGTAGCATGTTGAACTTGAATTCATAACTCAAGGAAAATGAGATTGATTTTGAGCTCCTCATGAACCAGGAGAGGCTAACCCAGTAATGTCAGGCAGCTGGTTGCTGTGGCCATTCATAAATTATTATTTCTCTTGCCTGCCGAGGAAGATAGCCTGAACTATTGCCTTTACTTTTTCTATTCTGGGGTTAGTATTCTTTCATCATTTCTTCAAAAGCTACCCATTTAGGCAATATTATTCTATGATCTAAGTACTGGTAGGCAACCTGGACTGACTTACTCTCAGGAGCATTGGAGACATAATCCAAACTTTGGAATGATGACTATACTATGCTGTCATTATTATCCACTTAGTTAATATCTTATGATTTATATTTTTACTGGTAACTCATATTCATTTACTTATTACTTCACATTTGCCTAGACGAGCTCCATACAGAAAGCCTGTGACCAAAGCTTACTTCTTTAGAGTCCAGGCAGTCCCCATGTTTTAAATATCCAACGTACAAATGACTCATACTTAGAAATGAAGGGTAAGACAATAGGAAGGAGAGAAAATGATCAATTGAAAAGGAAATTCACCCCTAAAAGTTATCATGGGGAAAAGGTGTCTCCATTGAAGCTTTTGCGCCAAACATTGTTCCACTACAAGCCAGATTTTTCAAAATCCAATTATTGCAGAGACAGAAAGTGAGGTGAAATCTTCTAAACAGGATCATAGGCAGTAAAACAAGCACCACACTGTTAACTCTTCCCTATGGTTTCCAAAATGTTATTGGGTTGTGTCATGTTATTGTTAGCCTCCTTGAGTCCCTATGGTAAGAAAGGCAAGATAGAAATAAATAAATCATATGTCCAAATTGAAATATGTAGTTAAATCTTTAGAAAAGGATGTTGGTGGTTGGTTACATTGAAAATCTCACGACAAGCAGCTTTCATTTATTTGTGTAGCATAAGTAACAGAATAGGAAGCCAGCCAGGGGAAGAAAGTGTTGTGGACTGCTTAATAATGATTCTAGAATATGGTGAATATTTGTCCAGTTTTAGTATTTAGTTTCGCCAGTATGAGTGGGTGGTCGTAATTAATTTTGTTGTGGGAAGAGAAGCAATTCAAGCAAGGCTTAGAAAGCAACTAGCATTGCAACAATGGTTCTGTAATGAGAGCCACTCATCAGTCATTTTTGTCATAGCTAGGCTTGGCATGTGACCAATTGTAAAGCTGATCTCACAAAGACTTTTTACCACAGTATGTTTTAAAAGCCTATTTGTAGTCCTTACCAGTATTTTATCTGTATTGTTTTGAGTCTCCTTTGGGAGAGATAAATAAGCATTATTATTATTATTATTATTATTATTATTATTATTATTATTATTATTATTTTCAATGAGCTACTGTCTAGTTTGTCCACAGGGTGAGAGCCTCCACAAAAGAAATCTTGAGTGGAGACTGTGGAATATGAGTAGTAAAAGGCTTGGCACTTCTGATGCCTTTAAAACAAGATCTCCTTTGCAAAAAATTGTCTGGCTTGCCTCTTCTGTTGCAAGTATTTAAAAATAACAATCACCTCAGGTCTTCCTTCTACAAACTGAACATTCTGTCCACCACGTTGTCATTTCAGATCTTTATTCCTTAAGCAAGAGATGCCAAATTAATTTTAAATGAATTATGCTTAGGGCAAACTTGGATGTGTTACCTGGGGTGACACCTTCCATAAAAATGTTGAGGGCTCTGTTGGAATCTGAAGAGAAACTAAATGAATTTTAAAAGCTATTCATGAGGGACATACTGGCATTTGATCCAAACAATGTGGCTGTTTGTTTAAACATGTCAAATGAAAGAGAACCCAGCAGCAAAACCAAAATAAGATAAGAGTCAATTAACACTACGAAGAGAGCGCACCATACCCTCCCTCCCTCAGTTAGAAGAGCCATGGAAACCACAGATGGTTTGCCTTGAAGCAATGTTGGGTTTCTCCTTTTTGTGTCTTTGATGAGGTGATGATTTTGGCATACATTGTATTTGCCCTTGGGTAGGTTTTTATTTGGATGGATTTTATTCACAGCAATAAGTTGGAATGTTCCTTGCTTTGAATGTATAGTAATTTAGTTTTCATCACTATTGTCATGTTGCTTTTTTATTTGTTGCTTGTATTTTTATGTTAAACCACCTTCCTAATGCCACGACCCCTTAATACAGTTCCTCATGTTGTGGTGACCCACAACCATGAAATTATATACGTTGCTACTTCATAACTGTATTTTGCTATTGTTATGAATCATAATGTAACTATCCGATTTGCCGGATGTATTTTCATTCACTGGATGAAATTTGGCAAATACCCAATATGCCCAAATTTGCATACTGGTGGGGTTGGGGGGGAGGGATTGATTTTATTATTTGGGAGTTGTAGTTGCTGGGATTTATAGTTCACCTACAATCAAAGAGCATTCTGAACTCCACCAATGATGGAATTGAACCAAACTTGGCACACAGAATTCCCATAACCAATAGAAAATACTTGAAGCATTTGATGGGCACTGGCCTTGAGTTTTGGAGTTGTCGTTCACCTACATTCAGAGAGCATTGTGAACTCAAACAATGATGGACTTGGACCAAACTTGGCACGAATTCTCCACATCCTCAAATGTGAACACTGGTGGAGTTTGGGGAAAATAGACTTGACATTTGGGAGTTGTCGTTGCTGGGATTTATAGTTCACCTACAATCAAAGAGCATTCTGAACCCCACCAGTGACAGAATTGGGCCAAACTTCCCATGTTTTCTGATGGTCTTCGGTGACCCCTCTGACACCCCCTCACGACCCCACCAGGGTCCCAACTCCCACATTGAGAAACACCGTGTTAAATGTTCCTGTGTTAACTCAAAACAAGGACTTTCATATTCTTTGTCTTGCTACTTTTGTTACTGTCTAGATTTGGAGGTTTTTTAAATTTAAAAAATGATTAAAGTTCTGTAGATCATGTTGGAAAGGGATAGTGCATTTTCTTTACGGCTGTAAGTTTTAAACTAACAATATTTATTTTGATGGCAAGTATGTGAGTTCATCCTATTACACAGAGTTTTGTTTTGTAGTACAATAGTAGAAACCCTTTATTCTTATTTGAGAATAAAGTGATGATGTCAATCCTGTGTATCTTTTGTTTAAAAAAGATGAAGTTGAAGACATTTTAAGCCTAGAAAATTTCTTTGGCACACATTCCTTGATATTGTCAGGAACATAAGAGTTGCTGATAATAAATCTCGCAGTAGTGTTGTTTTGCGCTTCTCAGATTAAAGCAAACAAACACTTTCCATAATGATTACAATGCATGCCAAGCCTGAGCCAAATCACACAGAAATTTCCAGAGGGGTTGCAATATTAGTGAGTTTTTGCCAAACTAATGAAGATTCTTGCAACACCTTAAGGCCAACAGATTTTATTTTGTATACGCTGTCGTAGACTGCTGCGCTCTTCTAAGCTGAGAGGCTAAATATTTTGGTAGGTTTCTCTTGGTAGTGAGGAAATAAAATATTGTATCGGTTTGGGGATATATTGAGAAGCTGGGGTTTGTGTTCTTGCTTAAAATATTGCTGGCATGCTATATTTGGTTTCTTTGTGATGTTGATACCATTTGCCACTGTCAAGATAATGCTTTGCTTTCAGTTTATACTCCTATGCTTTTATAAGCCCCAAGCGCATGAGGGAAACAGTACGTAGATCGAAAAGAGTTGCGAGGTCGGTTTGTTTTATTATCTTGTTCTCAGGGGATTTATACCTTCTTGGCAATATCCAGAAGAAATAAAATCTTGGCACCACTACTTCCCTGGCTTCTTTGAGTTTTCATTCTGAGGCCTCCCTTTTAAAAAAGGCACACATGAGCCTATAAAAACCCTTGGCAGTGGGGCGCAGAATGTTCTGCATGCTCATTCTTCCTGAAGTGTTACACATTTCATTGGCTTGAGAAGTACAGTGCACACAGGATACTGCACGGGTGCCTTCTATGTAGCACTTACATCTGCTTTGATTCTGATCTTAAGCTATTCTGATATTCTGCTGGACAGCCCTTACATTCAACTCTCTTGCAAGTCCATCCAAAATTATGTAAAAACCATTTATTGTTGTTGTGTAATAGTTTGGAAGGAGCATGTAACATAAACTGCCTCTAGCAAAAATTGCAAATATTCATATCTTGTGTGAGATGTCAGCAAAATCAGGCAATTTCCTTTTGGATTAACTTTATTTAACCTTTTCTTTAATGGTATGAGTACTCTGTTAGATTTGGATGCCATTTTGGCTGCAGCTTCAGTGACTTATTCCAGGATAAACCCCCTATTGTATTAAACCAAATTTACAACTGAAATGTCAAGAGGGCAGATTCTAAGCTGCAGTTTTCCATGAGCATTTTCCTCCTTTTGGACCTCTTCAGAATCTGATTTTTCTGCTTTTGACTCGAGCTTGAACCTGTAGTTTAAGTGACTATCTTAGCTATCTTTGGACATAGTGTACACAGTGTCCTTTTCCCTCTGTGAAACATGGAAGATAATAGTTGTCTTAAATGAACATTATGGCATATGAGGGCACAGTGAGCCCTTTCTCCCTACCTAAGAGAGCTGTTTTAAAGATATCTAGGGAAAGGGAAATGTTTGAGCATCTAGATCTTGTAGAGCTGAGGTGAAATGTCAGTGTCTGAAGTGAAGGCTGAAAATCTAAGGTGGGACCAGAGAAACAAGAGGAGGACAGGTTGTCTTTTTG